AAGAGATTAAGAAACTTATAAAAAGAATTATCCAAAACCCAAAAGTGGTTTATTTAAAAAAAAATAGTGGCGCGGATTTCTCCGGCAGTTGAGATCAAGGATCGATGTCAGTGAAATTCATTTGTCATTTGGCCATCTAATCCGACTGATCGGATCTATTTCCCTGAATAACAATCGATTTAGCAAACGGAAAGGTATAAAGAATGATAAGCAGGCATTATCGATGATTCACGGAAAATAGTTGTCTCAAGGATCGAGCGAAGGACTAAATGAAAAGGTGGGATTCCGGGGAGAAAACATCACCATAAAGAATTATCTTGTTACCCGCTAAAATGTCTGAAGACAAAACGGTTTAATGCATTAAAGACTTTTGCGAAATTTCAATCTTTACTTTAAACTTTTTTTATTACTTATTTTTGTTGTAAGTTGTGAAGAAGGAGATGTATTAGTTTAGTTTGCCTTAGAAATTAATAGTAAATTCAGAGAACATACCTAGACAACAGACCGATGGAATCACTTATCACCATACTGATAATATTTTCAATTTCGACAATGCTCCAAGGTATTTTGGATAAATGAATGTAATTGTATATCTTAAGAATACGATTTCAACATTACAATAGCTTTTTTTTTCACAATGTTTCATTGAAAAGATATTTCAACAAGAATAATTTTAAATAAATGAGAAAAATTGTCATGTCGCATTTCACAATAATTATCTGCATTTTTCAACATTCTTAGCAGAACATTCATTTCTTTGAAGAGTTACATCAATCAGTGAATGCATAATTATTAGTATTAAAATTTCATGAATGATTACATGCTTGATTATGCGATATACATGAAATTACGCTTATTAATAATATATAAATATATAAAACGTAAAATAAATAATCATTAAGGATAGAATAAAACATACAGTTACTCCATCTTACGGACCATCTTCTGAAATCTTCCAAAAAAGTTTCTAAAGAAAAGTCTTTTAGAGAAATTAAAAGTTTTAATTAATTTAATTTTTATTAAAAATGAAAAATTTTCAGTACAGTCATTTTTAGGCTAAACTCATTAATTGCAAAGTGCAAGAGCTTGACCGATTTTGGATTAACATGATAAACTATTATATGATAATTTATTTTATTTGTTTAATTAATTGAATCAAAACATCTTATCTGGATATTATTCTCGACATTTGTGGAAACTTCCGAATCAGTTTAATTATTAACCTTTAATATCAATGCTCGCCAATAATTAAGGCACTGAGTATTCTTATTAATAAAGTTTCACTACGATAACAAACAAAAATCGCCAAAAAAACAGTAACGAGGATATTTTGTGAGGTCTAAACTCAAAAAAAAATATATTTAAATAAAATTTAAATTTCTGTAACGATAATTTATAGATATAACAAACCCACAAAATAATGTATATATTTTTGCATGCTGACATTTTGAATGACAAATTATAAGTTTATTAAAATTAAAAAAAGTGATGGTTGCTTAGAAAAAAAAAACAAATAAAAAACAACACTGTTTTTATTAGTTTTTATGAATCCATTTACAGTTTAAAGAAAATAAACGAAACCGAAACTTCATGCGTTTTAGAGGCTTTACAAGTTTTTAAGTAGTTATACAATACAGAATTTATACATCTGAAACCTTACGAAATATAAATTTTAGCTAGTAAAGTCTTACCAAGAGACAGAAATTCAATGTTAGCTTATAATTAAAAAAATTTTAACCACACAGCACTATGTCTCCGAAATGCAAGTAAAGAATAAAATAAGGGTAATTGGACGGGTCAAGCCCGAAAACAAACCACAGGCCATGACACCCAACCACATACTCTCTTTCGGTATTTAATGCATATTTAGGTATATATATATATATATATATATATATATATAATATATATATATATATATATATATATATATATATATATATATATATATCTAATTCATAGCATTTCCAAGTCATATTCAATTTTTTCCAATTCAACTGTTCAGATGTTCCGAAGAAAAATTAAACCGAGATTTGATTTAAATTTAAATTTAAGATTATGCGGCGAATGGTTTTTTAAAATACTGTATATGTTTAAATTTGGAGGCCTGAAATGTATTCATGTTCTTATAATGTCAAACAATTCTTATAAATTTCAGTATTTAAATATTAGCATTAATATTTAATTAATACAGAGGTTAAAACTTTCATGACATTTTTTTTTAAAGAGTTAAATTTTTACATTTTCTGTGAATTTTTTTTTAAGTTCTTAAAATAAAAGTTCTAATAAAACTTTTGTTAACTTTTAAATTATTAACTTTTGTTTATGTGAGTTCTTCAAAACGTTACGATAAACCAGAAACAAACAATAATTGTGCTATAAAAACAGATACAATTGATCTTAAATGAATTACTTTATACTTTTGTTTCCTTTGTTTCAATAGCCAAGAATATAGAAGGAGAAGGCAAGAAAAGAGGGCTATTGCCACCCGTAAGTAATTTGGTATAAAATAAAACATAATATAACACAAATTCAATAAAACTGCCGAAAATTTGAGGAACATAATTTTTTTTAAATAGATGTTCAATGAATATGCGTTACTTCAATTAAAAATATTTGTAAATTGTAACATTAAACTACTTAGTATAATATTATAGAGTTTGACATTATTTATATAATTTATATTATCCTTTATTTTCCGTCTTATCCTTCCCTCTTCACAAAAATAAAAATTAAATTTCCATTTCAAGCCTTGATAATTACACTTACAAGGAAAATTAAAAAAGTTCTTATTTTCACACTTGTAGGCATCCTCAAGGTATAAGAGATTAAGAAACTTATAAAAAGAATTATCCAAAACCCAAAAGTGGTTTATTTAAAAAAAAATAGTGGCGCGGATTTCTCCGGCAGTTGAGATCAAGGATCGATGTCAGTGAAATTCATTTGTCATTTGGCCATCTAATCCGACTGATCGGATCTATTTCCCTGAATAACAATCGATTTAGCAAACGGAAAGGTATAAAGAATGATAAGCAGGCATTATCGATGATTCACGGAAAATAGTTGTCTCAAGGATCGAGCGAAGGACTAAATGAAAAGGTGGGATTCCGGGGAGAAAACATCACCATAAAGAATTATCTTGTTACCCGCTAAAATGTCTGAAGACAAAACGGTTTAATGCATTAAAGACTTTTGCGAAATTTCAATCTTTACTTTAAACTTTTTTTATTACTTATTTTTGTTGTAAGTTGTGAAGAAGGAGATGTATTAGTTTAGTTTGCCTTAGAAATTAATAGTAAATTCAGAGAACATACCTAGACAACAGACCGATGGAATCACTTATCACCATACTGATAATATTTTCAATTTCGACAATGCTCCAAGGTATTTTGGATAAATGAATGTAATTGTATATCTTAAGAATACGATTTCAACATTACAATAGCTTTTTTTTTCACAATGTTTCATTGAAAAGATATTTCAACAAGAATAATTTTAAATAAATGAGAAAAATTGTCATGTCGCATTTCACAATAATTATCTGCATTTTTCAACATTCTTAGCAGAACATTCATTTCTTTGAAGAGTTACATCAATCAGTGAATGCATAATTATTAGTATTAAAATTTCATGAATGATTACATGCTTGATTATGCGATATACATGAAATTACGCTTATTAATAATATATAAATATATAAAACGTAAAATAAATAATCATTAAGGATAGAATAAAACATACAGTTACTCCATCTTACGGACCATCTTCTGAAATCTTCCAAAAAAGTTTCTAAAGAAAAGTCTTTTAGAGAAATTAAAAGTTTTAATTAATTTAATTTTTATTAAAAATGAAAAATTTTCAGTACAGTCATTTTTAGGCTAAACTCATTAATTGCAAAGTGCAAGAGCTTGACCGATTTTGGATTAACATGATAAACTATTATATGATAATTTATTTTATTTGTTTAATTAATTGAATCAAAACATCTTATCTGGATATTATTCTCGACATTTGTGGAAACTTCCGAATCAGTTTAATTATTAACCTTTAATATCAATGCTCGCCAATAATTAAGGCACTGAGTATTCTTATTAATAAAGTTTCACTACGATAACAAACAAAAATCGCCAAAAAAACAGTAACGAGGATATTTTGTGAGGTCTAAACTCAAAAAAAAATATATTTAAATAAAATTTAAATTTCTGTAACGATAATTTATAGATATAACAAACCCACAAAATAATGTATATATTTTTGCATGCTGACATTTTGAATGACAAATTATAAGTTTATTAAAATTAAAAAAAGTGATGGTTGCTTAGAAAAAAAAAACAAATAAAAAACAACACTGTTTTTATTAGTTTTTATGAATCCATTTACAGTTTAAAGAAAATAAACGAAACCGAAACTTCATGCGTTTTAGAGGCTTTACAAGTTTTTAAGTAGTTATACAATACAGAATTTATACATCTGAAACCTTACGAAATATAAATTTTAGCTAGTAAAGTCTTACCAAGAGACAGAAATTCAATGTTAGCTTATAATTAAAAAAATTTTAACCACACAGCACTATGTCTCCGAAATGCAAGTAAAGAATAAAATAAGGGTAATTGGACGGGTCAAGCCCGAAAACAAACCACAGGCCATGACACCCAACCACATACTCTCTTTCGGTATTTAATGCATATTTAGGTATATATATATATATATATATATATATATATATATATATATATATATATATATATATATATATATATATATATATATATATCTAATTCATAGCATTTCCAAGTCATATTCAATTTTTTCCAATTCAACTGTTCAGATGTTCCGAAGAAAAATTAAACCGAGATTTGATTTAAATTTAAATTTAAGATTATGCGGCGAATGGTTTTTTAAAATACTGTATATGTTTAAATTTGGAGGCCTGAAATGTATTCATGTTAACTTTTCAGAATTTTTTTTCGAAAAAAATCGAAAGTTGAATTTGAAATGGAAAAGGTTAAATTTGGTTTGGAAAATATTTAATTTATGTCGGATACAGTTGAATTTGTATTGGGAAAAATTACATTTCGTCCAGAAAACATTGGTTGAGATCGAAGAAGGGAAATATGACTTGGAAATGCCTTTAATTTAACATTCATTTGCATAAAGACATATTTATATTATTTATATATTTATATTATAGAATGAATATAATATGCCTATATACGTGGAGTCTTATGTCAACAAGAGTATTAAGAATTTGGAAAGTGAGCCGATATACACACCCCCTCTTCCGTTACCATTGCACACTATCGTCGCCTACATTCGCAAGCGAGAGAAAATGCGGGACTAATTTTCTATTTGCAAGAACATCCGCCATGAAGCACACACTGCGGTCTCTAACTGTCTTGCGGCTGGCTCAGAAATATAACTCGTCCTGCAAAAGAATAGCTCAGTGCTCTTCGCCTTTCCTCGGGTTAGTGTTACCTTTCCTTACCCTCAGAGGAACAAACCGCAGCTCGCTCACCTGGAACAGACAAAATGAAACCTTATTTAGAACGTGCGTTCAATGTTATTATATTTTTAAAAAATCGTTATCACTATGGCACTCATTTAATTCATGTTTAACCTTCTATGAAATGAAAAAAGTATTTATTACTCTGGAACAAAGTCCCTTTAGAACAAAATTAAAACGGCCAAAACATGTGGCCGTACTATTTTTTACTAAATGTAGATTTTTGTTCATTAATACGAGAAAAATTTAGCACAAATGAAAAGAATTCAAACAGTAATCAAGGTTACAAAACTACATTAAGAAATAATAATGATAATAGATAAGTAATCTGAGAGACATTTGAAATATAAGAGAAAGTGATTTAATATAAAATAATATTAATTAGACAGGGCGATGACAAGGTTGTTAAAAAGGAGAGATTTGAATCGTGATGAAGAAGAATGTCAGGCAGCTCGAATTAGGAAGGAGTTGTCATATGAGTTCGGCAGAGAAGAGGGTTGAAATCAGAAGGACTAGACGGGACCAGATTAGAAGGAAGGTCTTAAATGCAGACTCTGTAGTTTGTTGAATGGTCGCTGAGATAACTTGGTGCGGAAGGACGCAAGAAAATACCTCTAAAATGGGTATCAGTAGCTTATAATATATGTTTACTGTAGAAATATGTCTTTAGTTTTTATTTCTTCAATAAAGACATGACAATCTAACATAAAATGGTAATATTTTTAATAAATAACTAAATCAACAATTTTTCTGATGATATATTTTGTCTCGGACTAAGGTCGATTAGACAAATGCCTACAACCCCGAGGTCCAGTACCGCTCTTTCATCCAGTTACCAAGACCTCACTGACCGACTCACTAACTCTCTTAGCCACGGAACAACTTCTTGCAGCCCTAACAGTACTATCTATCTTACCCTGTTCACAGCTCATTATCTCAAGTTTGTGTTCTTGGTCGTCACGCCAAGTCTTAAAGCGGTACCGGCGAAATAAGAACGGATCAAGGATTCTTTCAGTTTTTAAGAAGCGGAGAGGATACGATTGTCTCTTGTAAGAACAAGAATCAATGAGCAATCAAAGAGTGTTTATAAGAACGGAAATAGACTTTACAAATTTTTTATAAAACAAGTTGGATGAGAAGTCATAGTCAAGCTTTAATATTGGATGATATATTTTATAAAAGATTCCCATGGGTGGTTAGTTATTTAATAACAGTCAACAAAAAATGTCCGTAGGTGGCGAAGAAGTCTTACCTTGCAAATAAGAAGCATTAATTGAACATTTTCCTTCATTATTAATAAATATTCCAGAATCGATGATGGACTATTTATAACATCGATAAAATGATTTAACATGTAATATTTTAGCAATGAACCCTTTTCGTTATGAAGAGGCCGGATTTATAAAGGAAACATTGAGAACAAGAAGCGTTTACGACGTACGACACTGGCCATTGATAGTTCCCATTGAGAGGAAGGATGACAGACAATAAGGCGAAAGTTGTATCTGGAGCAGACGGTCGATGTCGTCCGAGGTCGTTGTTCAGCCCAAGGCCCCTGCTGTACCGCACGAATGTTCATTACTGAATTTATTTACCCTCTAAGTCTAGGTAAGATCGATAGATGCATCAACTTTGGTCTATTCCAGGATGCCCTGCTCGAGGCACGTGAGCCACAATGAATGTGGCACGCTCATGGTCGGAGTTGGTACACTCCTGGGCAGTAAGTGTTTACATAATTATTCTTAATTTTATTATTTAAAAAATATAAAGAATTTAATACCACTTTCGGGGGATTCAGTATGTTTGATATGAGTCAGAAAAATACTATCCAAATACAAGTAATTTATAGGATAACTTATAAACTTTATAGGTTTTCAATATGTAGGTTTATTTAAAAAAAAAATAAAATAGGGAAAAATGTCTTTAAAACGAACATCTGTAACATATAGAAATAATTATTATGAAAATAGTAGAGTATAGGGGACAAGAGGAAAAATTCATTTGCGAAGGCATCAAAATAAAAAACCATTGATTGTGGTGGCATGCGTTACAAAACGGATAGAACCTCTGGTTTATACTGATATCACTTCACGAAAAAATAATGGGCCAAGTGAAGGAGAGGGAGGATAAGGTAGGATTTTGTCACATCTAACACAGAAATGATTTTAAATACCAAAAATGTAAACAACAAATTCCTGAAAAGTTGGTTGCCATCAATAGGTTGATTATTTGTATTTCAACGTTTTGAAATAAACCAAAAGGACACACCTAACAGCTTTTGTTCTCTCTCCTACCTCACCTTTTTGGCTATACGGTTTTTTTCCGGGACAGGGGAGAGAGAGAGCGAAGGATTAGTACAAGAGTTGAAAGCCCTCGACATCGGACTTCGAACTCTTAATCTTCACTTCGGTAGCATGCATGCATGTAAACAAACTCTTCAACCCTCTCAAATGTTTATTTCCAATAATAATGTATTGCAATGGCACTACTCTTCACAACACGATAACTTCTATTACAACAAATTACTATAACAGAATATAAAAATTAAGAATTACCGCCAATGACGATCTGGGATAGAGGCAAATAAAAATATTAAAAAAAACTTTTTTCAAAAATAAAATTAATTTATTCATTGATGTAGAAAGGACCCATTTCTAATAAAGAACACTGTTTGAGAAAAATGTGAAAAAACAACTTGATCATGAAAATAATAGGGATTTTATTGACAGAAAATCAACCTTAAAGCAATTTTCAAAGATATGAAAGGAAAACAACGGGCACACTGAGAGCATGCGGTCCGCTCAATGAAGTGGCAAGGTGACACAATATGTTTCGCAGTGACAAGGCACCATTACTGCATGATTCCTAACAACTTGTGTTAGTTGCTTACACATTGTGCACTCTCGAATCTCGACCATTCAAAATAACATCTATGAACGAAATATTTAGTAGTTCTATTCTTTGAAGATTTATATAATTTTATAATTAGTAGCAGATTCATGATTTAATTTGGGTATTTTTTTAAAAAAGTTTTAATTATCTTTTTATTTTTACGCTCATTATTCTGGAAGGAAAAACTAAATAAACTATATAAAATCATGTTTAAGTGCTGTTTAAAGACTTGTAAAAAAAAAAACCTAATTATAGGAACAATAATGTTTTCGTGGAATAAAGTTTTTATGACATATTGTGTTGTTTTTTTTTATTTAGTGAAAAATTGTTTACTTTTCCGGGGAGAGAGGGGATTCATAATATATATATATATATATATATATATATATATATATATATATATATTCAAACTTCACTATTTTATTGGGAATAAGGTCACTTAATTAGGCACTAATTAAGTGACCTTATTCCCAATAAAATAGTGAAGTTTGAATTTAATACTCAAAGGTCGATGAAGGAAAAGTTGTAAATATATATATATATATATATATATATATATATATATATATATATATATATATATATATATATATATATATATATATATATATAGATATATATATACGAATAAATAAAATTATGTTTAAATTTGGCTTTCCTTTATTCGCCTTTATAGGTACACAAATACTCGCTGTTTTTTTATAAATGAGTAAACTAAAGTCCAATTTTAACATAATCTTATTTTTTGAAAAATAGCTGTGAATCCTTTATCCGAAAAGTTGCAAGGGTTTAGTTCTGAATTAACAAGGGGAAAAATCGAAAATAACGTCATACCGTAACATCTAAAATTTCTAGCCCTGCTTAAAATAGATTAAGGTAACAAAATTTGTGTAATCATAAAAAGTAAATGTTCCCTTGGATTGAATAGAGAATTAATTTTTATCGATATTTAGAACAGTATGTTTAATAGGCATCATTTTTTAGTTATTTATTTATTTTTTTACTGATATCAATCATTTCAATTATTTTGTTATCAGAGCACATCTCCGTAACCCGAGATCAACAGCGCCTTGATCCATCCCTAGAATAGCCCTTGGGGATGGTCTAGGATTCCACCCTCGCAGACAGCTGATCGGAAGAGGTTCCTGTCCAGATGGGTGACACCTGGCCTCATACGATTTCCCGAAGCACGTGCCATTCAAGGAAGAAACACTTGGTGGGGAGAAGATCTATGGATTGCTTCCGGCAGAGGGGGGAATAAAGAAGGGCTATCTATATCTTATAAAAAATAATCGAAATTAACGGTACTTTAAATAACGGTTTGCTTAGGCTGTTGAAATTTATAAACAGCTCGCTAGATAATATCAAAACTTAAATGAAAGCATGCCTAAATGCAAGAACTCCAGATAATGCCATGATTCAAATTTTTAGTACAAGACGAATAATGTTAAATTAGAAACGAGGTAATCCTACCATTAGGTTTTGACTAAATAAGCAAGTTGAGGACTAACTATGGTTTTACTTAATTTTATGTTCATGAATCAATTTTTTTTTTACAACAGCACTGAATTCAACTGAAATTTATTCATATGCATGTTTTTACTTTACTGCATGATACTTGTCTGTGTCAATAAGCCTAACTAAAACTTTGGTTTCGGTTCAAAAGCTACGAACCTGGTGTTTTGTTTACAATCATAAAAATAATTAATCAAGGTAGATAGATTATGAAATTAATATTTATTTTGAATAGCTTTTTTTAATAGTTCGAAGTACCACTGCTTTTTTTTTAGTATTATTTCTCTAAATATTACTTTAATTGTTTTTTTGTATCTCCAAAAATATTTGACCGATATCACGCCAAAGTTGTTCCCTTAACTAATTGTTTAATTAAGAAGATCCATATTATGGGGAATGGGTGTGCATCAGTAGGATCTCCCAACAGTAGGATTAATTCTGATGTAAGAAAATTAATAATTACCTTCCACAGCCGGACTCGAATCCCGTATCCGGAGCCTACGAGTGCCTTGATCATTGAGCTACCTCACTCCCTTTTATAATAGCATTACACATCTTCCATATAAGATTTCTAGAGATTTCAGAACGCTTGAAAGAGAAAAAGAAGCTCTGTTTGCGCTTCTGACATACTAGTACACGTAAATGCAGGAAATTGTTTAACTACCAAAAAAATAAATTCAAAAACTTTATATAAATGACTAAAAAAATAATTAATCTTTTTTTTTTACTTGAAAGAAATAATTAGTTATATGATATTCATACATGAATACCTTTTTAGTTAAAATTAAGATTTTAATTAAGTAGATAATATTGCAATTGGGATATTGTTATATTAAAACCAGGCGAACACCCCGACAGACGAACATAAGTTCATTGTCGATAAATCGTTTAATTATATGTAAAAATAAATATGATATTATGTACTTTATAAACAAATAAACGCTTCTATCTATCTATCTACCTATCTATTCATACATGAAAAAAAAAATCTATTTTTCACTATCAATTTTTTTTCTTAGAAAATATTTGAGTGACAACGTTTTATCAACATGAAACTTTCAAATTAAAAAAATAATTAGATTTTCGTGATAAAACCTACCAAATTTCTCGGACTTTCATTAAAAATGTTTTAATGCCAGTGTATCAACTGCTTCCTGGAGTGCCTGATGCCACGCCTTGATGAAGACCTGCAAGGTGGATCGAAACAATTAAAGATACTATTTTTAAAACATTTAATATTTATTTGACCGCAACTCCCGACCAACTCGTTCTCAAAAACATTTATTGTCGAAGGAAGGTGAAAAGTATGGATATAAAAATAAAGATATGAAATATAGAATGACTGTATTATAAAGAAGAAAAAAAAGATATATTCTTTTCTAAACTGTATTAAAACACATTAACGGCTCCCATTAAAGAAAATAAGAGTATATCAAATTATTAAAGCCTGATTGAGGAAACAAGTCAAGATGAAAAACATTCAAGTAAAAATTTGAGTAAAATTTAGTTTCAAATTGAACATTTTTAACAGAATGAACCATTTAAGGCGTTAACAAGTAGCAGGTAAAGCACAGAACAAACATTTTTTAAAACAGTAATCATTTAAATGTTGCTAAGTTAAGCAATCCATATCAATTAAGAAATGTGATTTTAGAAAGACTACGACTATCTAACTCAACAAATTTGTGATGAGAATAAAGTGTATGAAGTTAAGTCTTTAAATCCTTTTAGAAAATTAGCAGTGATTCAAAGGTAGGTAATTAGTTAGTCAAATCCATAACCGTGACTCGAATAATAGCTTTTACAGTTAATGTGGTGTGATGTAACTTTATGTAGACCGTTATAAAAGATAAATTAAAACAAAAATTGGCATACTTGACTGCAGTGGTGGTCTTAAAAATTTGGCATCCCCGAAAAAAAAAAAATTTACGAGAAAATGAGGCTCACATAAAAACCATTGTATATTACTTTTTATTTGTATTTTATTTATTTTAATATAGCTCTAATTCATTTGCTGTATTGATAAGGTTTCTTATTTTTTTATAACCCTAACATGAGATGGATGCCCCTCCAGGTGGTGGAGGCCTTTGGTCGTGTGCCTGAGACTCCCTCCCTTAAGATCGGCACTGGCTGATAGAAGGTGATAAACATGTGCATCACACATCTTTCACTTAGCACAATTCTTTCAATAGATATTTCTTTTTTTTTTTTAATTATTTGCCTAAATAATTGTATTTTCATTATAAATACGAGTCTGTTCAATTAATATAAAGTATGAAAATTGTGTTTTCAATATATTTTTGTATGATTCTATGAGTATAAAATTCAAAAATGGAGGATCTCTAAAAATTGAGGTAATTGTTGTTTTCTCCGTTATACCGAATGCATCGTAAAATGGACTCAATCGATAATATATTTTTTCCACCACTCTCTGAAATATAGGTTGAAAAGATCTATTAAGTGCTTTATGATTTTGGGAGTTTCAGTATAATTCTAATGAACCTCCTTAACGGATATTCTACTAAATATCCCTTTTATGTTGCCAGTTTGTAGTAGGTTTGTAAGTATATAAATCATATTGTTTTGTTTTAATGTCATCAATTTTAATACTAATTTTATTATCTTTGTTCTCTGAATATTGGTTTATTGTGCCTTCACCTTTTTGGTACATTAGGTTTTCACCAGGCTAAATTAATAATTAATAAATGGATAAGAAAATTTTTAATTCAGTTTTTTTTAAATGTCAAATAAATTTCAATTATTGGTATCCAGTAATCCAAACCCACACCGGTGCGATGTTTAATATTTTTTTACTTTTCGACCAAATTGTGAACTTAAAAGAGTAACCTCATGTTAAGCACTATGAATCAATGGACATTAAACACATAAAATTTAAGTAAAAAGTAATGAAGTTATCTGCCAATTTAAACTTAAAACGAACAGAGGAACCACTACCATTCTAAGTCTAGAATTGTCCTGGATGAAAATTCAACTTTAAATTTTAATAACCTTTTTAATATTAATATTAATTCATATTAAATTATAATTATAGTTTCTGTAAAAAAATAAGAAATATATATAAGAACGGTTTTTATGTTATGTTAATTCTGCAGTATCTGTAGTTAATTCTGTATTCATTCCTTCGGCCCCCCCTAACCTTATTAAAATGAAAACTGTTTTAATCTTTCAGTTTGATTAAAACAAAGCCATACTTGTGGAAAACATAGACCGATATTCATTGCAACATATTGTTCCAATGTGTTGGCCATTCGACTAGACTATAATATTTACCGATCATAACATAGCACCTACTACTTGGCCAATGGGTATTATTGAAAATTTTGGTATATTATATCCATGTCATATATGGTAGTGAAGAAATAGAGACCATTTCACGAACTGTAATGTTATAGACCATATATAAATACAAATATTAACACCAATACAATAATAATATGAATATGGGAATCATAAAGCATTTAATATTCTAACAGGTGCCTGAAATCATTTATGGATACAGTATTTTACTGTATGCTAAACAGTCTTTGGAAAATAAATATTCATCCATTCAGCTTCTCAAATAAATTGAAAAATCAATTATTACTAACACACGTATATTTTAAACACAAATTATTTGTAACAAAGTGAATAGAGAATACATACTGTGTACATAATTGACATAAGGTGAAATACAACTAACTTTAAAAATCTCAATTGTTTATTTAATACAAAGGATTAAATTTCGTAAATAGCTTACTAATTGAAGGATACTAAGCTAGTTACGAATACGTTATCTACACGTTTCAACTGTTCAAACAGTCTCGAGCAAGATGGCGGCCACACACCAGAACCGGTTCTAGTCCTCTTCACATTCTAATTCTAAGCATTCGCCTTCCGACCTCTTTGGACGGTAGTTTAAGCAGTGGTTATAGTGACAGTATATGTGTTCTGTTAACATATTCTTCAGTATGTGATTTGTTAAAATTATTTTCTTCTATGAATTCAATTACTTCATTTCCTTACATATTCAACTACTAAGGAGGTAATTTAATCGCGGCTGCCAGTTGCTATCTGAGGTGTCTGAAGTTTTGTAATATTTTGTTAATTTTTTTACATTACCGATATATTACATAATAATGCTGAGTAGGTTTATCTAAACAATTGATAAACGAGAGTCATGTGTATGTGTAGTGGAGAACTAGTGATCAACTACTTATTTGTTTGATTGTTTAAAACCATGTCTGTGTTGCCTTCAGAAACCAGCACTCTAGATCTCTCTGAAAATCAGTATGGAGGAGTTGGTTTCACTCATGGATTCATTGCTTCCTTAGCTGTTATTGTCGTATCAGAAATTGGAGACAAAACTTTCTTTATAGCGGCAATAATGTCCATGAAGCACTCACGCTTACTAGTCTTTGCTGGTGCTATATCGGCTCTTGCACTTATGACCGTTATATCAGTCATTTTTGGTTACACTGCGAATATCATTCCAAGAATATATATTACTTATGTGTCAACTCTGTTATTTGCTATATTTGGATTAAAAATGTTAAGGGAAGGTTATCATATGGCACCGAATCAGGGAATGGAGGAGCTAGAGGAAGTTCAGTCAGATTTACACAAACGAGAAGAAGAATTGGAGAAAGAAATATTAATTCAAGATGCTGAAAGTGGTGCCAAAAAAAGAGTTAGGACTTATATTGTAGTTTTCAAAATTATGTTTCAGGCCTTTGCTCTCACCTTCTTTGCAGAACTGGGAGACCGATCTCAGATTTCAACGATAATACTTGCTGCAAGAGAAGATGTTTATGGAGTTATAATTGGAGGAATTATTGGCCACTCTTTGTGCACTGGACTTGCTGTTATTGGGGGAAGGTTTATTGCTCAAAAAATATCAGTAAGGACTGTCACTATAGCAGGAGGAGTTGTGTTTCTACTTTTTGCATTTTCTGCAGTCTTTCTAGATCTAACAAATAGTTGATTAGGAATTTTTTGTTTACCTGGAATGAGCCCTACTCATCCTTTGTGTTATGTCTACAAGAATTTATACAATTTATCATAAATCTATTAGATTGTCTATATCACAGTAAATATTTATGACATTCTACTGACATTTTATGTACTTTTTAAATAGGTATAATAATCTTCATTCATAGTGAGCGTAACATTCCAAACTATGGACACCATCGTTATTCATTTTTTGATGCATTTATTTAACCTTAGTACATATCAATTTAGTTTGATATTGGAATTTCATTCCATAACGTGAATGATATCTGATTCTTACTACACTAATTTTTAATTATAATCTGGAATTGAACATACAAAATGTTTGATGTAATATTTGAAGCATTGAACATATGGATCTGAATGAACTGTGATTGAATAATGCATGTGGCCAATGCTTGTAGTCCAGATTTTTTTTATTTTTGTAGTCAAAGTTAAACATATTTACTTCATTGTAAGAATCAACTAAAGATTTATTTTATTATATAATGTGATATGACGTTAAAAGTAATGAATCTTAACTGTCTATATTATGGTAGAAAACAATACTGTAACAATCTTATTAGAAACCAATTATTATAAATTTTGAAACTACTTATTATAATGTGGTATTTTTTAACATCGGTTCAGTAGTAATGTTCAACAGTTTTCTAATTTATTAAGAAATATATTTGTTAGAAACAAAGTACAAAGTTATAGCAATGTTAGGGTATAAATATTTGTAAAAATGGATCTACAGTATTCATATCTTCGGCATAAGTGTGAAAACACCAGTCCAAAACCATTTGATATCAATTTTTTTTTTTTTACTGTATTTATTCACCATATCAAATAATTAACAATATTAATATTTATTTTTTTCTACTGAACATGATGAAAATTTAATTTTTATAACTTTTTTATTCCTCTTTGAAAAGTTGAGATTTGACAGTTTTACATTTTTGCCGACAATATGTGTGTATAGAAAAACATTTTCTTCATATATACCTTTCACATAAGAGACAATAAGTATAACTTTTGGGGCCTGTCACAAATTTAATGGAGGATGAATTCCTCCCAAAAAAGTATTACTATGAGATATGTATCTGTCTTTATGTATATTATTAAATTTGATTGGTAAAATTATATAGAATTAAGATCTATCCAATCATAATATAAAAGATATTAAGATAAAATTAGAAATTTTTGATTTTATTTATTATAATTATTTTATTGTCTATATATTTTGTATGTAAAATATTTAGGTGTTGATTTTTTATTCTATTTTTGACTATTTCTGTCATTATAGATATTTATTATGATTTTTTTTTTCTTCAATTGTACTATTTTTTTCTTTTATTGTGAAATTGTAAGTATCATTATTTATTTTAAAAACATTTGAAGTGAGGAATAAATTTTTTTTTTCCAATTTAGTTACTTTTTACCACACCTTAAACCTACTGATACTAATTTAAGAGTGTTGAAGTACAATATTAGTTTTTTTATTGGTATTTAAAACTATTTGAAAGTAATGATTTTATTGATTGCATTTATAATCTATAAATTTGTAGTGAATTCATCCAATATATAAGATTAATCCATCCATTGACTTTATTAGCAACTTCTCTTTAATGTTCGATTTCCTCTCTTAAGCATCACCAACACTGTGTAAGTAACTTAACTTACACATGGTAAATTACTTACTTAAATTTATTTACTTACTTTTTATCTTTTATCATAAAAGATAAAAAAAAAAAAAACTTTGATCTGTTAACTCTTCTCTCTATCCTTTTACTAATGTTTTGTTTTTTTATAATATAGTTAATTTTTGCATTTGATAATCACTTATACCTCTTGTCTGTACTAAAGTAGCAAAGCGTTATATTGAAAAAATATTGACCCCTAAGAATGAATATATCGAAGAGAATTTTGATAAAGCTTTTATAGACCAATATAACTACAATAAATTAATTATTTGAAAATAAAATCTAAGTTAAAGTAATCTCATAAATTAACAAGAATATTAAATAATGAGGGTATGATGGCCGAGCAGGTTGGGGAAAGGGTCTCAAAATGCCCCGTTCCCAACATTGTGAGTTTAATAGCTACGTAAGTTCAGTTATTATATCAAGTTGTTTCTGTCACAAAGAAAAAATTGTCTGAATCGATTATTATAGCTAGTGTTGGCCACAACTGCGTACTTCCAATAAAAAATGACAAAACAGAAACATCATGGAATTAATATTAATTAATCACAGGTTTGAGTTTGTTATTAAAAGTATGTTGTGAACCTACAAACTAATTATATATATATATATATATATATATATATTTTAAAATTAGATATATTCAAGTAATTAAAACGAAGTAACATAGACATTTAAATAAATTAATGCCCAGATTTACTGGCATAATTGCTTAGAACCACCAGAAATTAACTATTTAGATGTATACAAAAATAAAACAACTATTTTCTTTATTTTATAAAAAAGAAGAAACACAAACAACCATTAACATAACCAAAAGTAGAAATTACTATATGGTATCGGTTATATTTTTTATTGAGGTATATATGTAGTGAAAAATATTAATGATTTAGATCTTTGACAAGATAATAGTGATACACGATAAGATGATTTTGTGAATTAAAAAAAAAATTTAAATTCGACCATGCTGTTTTTGTTGCTGTAAAATTAATATTAATATTATAATTAGCTTGAGCTAGAAAGTATATTGAAATGTATACATAATAATATAAAAATGTTGTATATAACTTAGCAATTAAACATTATTAAGTATGCTTTCTCACAAAATTCTCTAAAACTGGTCGAGAATATGTTTTACTTTCATTCTCCAGGTCAGATTTCAATACCTTAAAACCATCTTGACAAAAAATGGATCATTTTGAAAAATATACATGTAAATTTCAAAAAATCAAATCTGATGAAATATTTTAAAAATCATTTGCTGATTTTTATTTTCGGAAGAAATTTTTACACTTAACAATAATAATAATTTTCAAGCAATACTTTTTTAAATCAGAATTATAAATTTTTGTAATCTCTAAGATATATTTTGAGTCTGCAGTATTTGGTGGATAATATTGTTTGGTTTCAACTATTAACAACAGAAAATCTTTATTTCCAAAATTCATTATATATTTTGGCTAACAACAAAAATTAAAAAAAAAAAAAAAATATATATATATATATATATAACTTAAGATAGTAATTATAGTCGGATAATAGGTCATGAAATACATTTCAATAAACTAAAACAACTCCTTATTTTTTTTATTCAAAACATTTCGATCTCTGTTTTTTAAAACAATATACAACAATTAAAAGTTGTCATACATTTTAACAATAATCTTAAATTCGTGTCTCTTTCTTTAAATTGAGCATCAACACCCCAAGCCGGGCTGCACGCTAAAACCATAACAGTACCGCCACATGAACATCAGACTACTTGGGGCCGCAACGCGCATCCGGATCCTGGAGCCCGAGAATAATACCGATACCAACAACAAGAGTGTATACAAGTCTCTAGTTGTAATTAAAATTGCCATAGTTAATTAAAACAAACTTACATGTACTTAAAACTAACTACATATTGCTAAAATTTAAATCAGATAACAATTAAATAAAATACAAACAATAGTCTATACAACAATCAGAGGTTGTAATTAGAACATTCAAATTGCCAAAAATAGTAAATTAAAACAATCTTACATGTATTTCAAATTAGCGTCATATTGCTAAAACTTAAATCAGATAACAATAAAATGAAATAAACTCAGCCAATCATTACATGTAATAAAACAACATTATTAATGTGGTTCCTACTTTTGTCAATTGTCTTCCTCTTCCACTAAATTAAAAAAAACAATAAAGCACGTATAAAACTATTCCAAAATAAGATCCCATTTCATATATGTATACGTATACACATATTTTTTAAATTTTATAAATACCCATACATAAACATACTGAACGCGTTGGCTGACCCATCCACATTGATTCCAATATATTATTACAGTCGTAATTTAACTATGCTAAATCATTGTTGTGTTCTTTGTTATTCCTATGTACATCATTTTAAGAATCAATGGTTTTTGTTGATTATTGTAATTATCTAGGACTTGTTGATGTTAGTTCAGATACAGGGAAACGACCTGTTCCATTAGTGAGCTTTCTTCTATATGTTTTAGGGCGAAGTTATTATGGAAAAATATTGTTGATCCTATTCAGCCATCATACAGAAAATAAAGAAAAAGTCGACAAAAAGCTATTCGCATCGAATAATATGCCATTATTTCTGTTTATTATATGAGGCGGGCTAAAAGTCAGCCAGGCCAAATCGATTATTGACTTCGAGGTCAAAGAAACGGCTTCGAACAAAAAGTAAGAATACTTTTGAGGGCTGGAATTCGCTATGGAAGTGTTGACATTAACCTTTTCATAAGTTTTTGAGTAATTTTGACAACACTGATTTATACCGTTGTACATATAATATTATTATTTATAAAATACGATGTAAATTTTACGCGAAATCTAATTTTACTGGTGGGAGAAAAGGAAATTTAGATAATTCTATAGGATTAATTGATTTAGGTTAAATTTCAATCTGGCTATTTTTTTTCCCCCAATGGGATAGAACAACATTCATTTAGATGATATGGGATACCTCTTACGTATCTTTTATGAATTGACTACTTCAGAATTTTTTAGAATGGTCACTAACCCCAAAACTGTTTTTTTTTTCCAGAAATTTAGCTAGACTCTCACAAAAATGAATAGTTATCCTCCAAAATAATTGAATCTCAAATATTTTTTTCCTTATACAGACATCATTAAATTGAGATAGAGAATTCCCCACTTAGTGTAAAAAAACGTTTTTTTATAAATCTAAATAGTTGGCTACTCCTCTTTAACAGGTCAACTCCATCAAACATTCCAAAACTTTTGCAACAATTAGAAAGGAATAATGTTTATAATTTAGTTGTCAATTCAACATGTAGGTGAACGTCATCACCCGATTTATATCAGATTTAGAAGAAATTCACAAAAATTAAAAATAAAACTACAATACACCTTACAATGTTTCCTAGCAGTAAAAGAGTTATTAACAGAAAATTATCAGGATTCAAGAAAAAATATTTAAAAAGGCTATGAAAAACAAACAAAAAAACTTATTCCTCGATAGAATTTTATGAGTTCACGTAATTTATTCATGTGTTTATTTAATTTTATTAAATATCTAAGTACCAACTATTCAGTACCAAGTGCTTTTAGTCATAAAACCCACAAAATGTTTCATTTGACTAGAAAAAAAATTTTTTGTTTACTCCTTTGAGAAAAAAAATGAAATAAAAACCAACAAAAAACGGCTTTCTAATATTTGTTAACTATTATCTTAATTGTTCATCACATGTTCAGTTACAATTTTTATTATTTGAGTGTCAATTTTAGTAACTGATTTACGTATAATTTTATTATTCTTTCAGAATAATAAAATTTGTTTTTCCAACTTATACATTAAAGTAAACTGAGAAGTTTAGAATATAAAATATAAACTATTTGCCCATATAATTAAAAAGGATTAAGGCGAATGCGAATTGGCAGGTCTATCGGAAGATAAGATGCTGTGGCGTATTCTCCCAGAATACCAGGATTCAACAGAGCATTATACACCAAGGCTGCCATTAAGAACGCGGTTTCCGCAATTAAATCCATCAATGGATATCGAAAGGTAGATGTTTAATAAAAGAAAAAATGTGATAGGAATCTTTCTTTTAAAAATATTCCTTTAGAAGAGCGAAATTTTACATTATACACTAAGATATATTTAAAAAAAAGATAAAGAAGTTTCTTTGCTTAATAGAATATAGGAATTAAAAATGAAATTTGGTCAAACAGGTGTACAATTATATGAAGTGCGAAACAAATTTGTCTTGATTGTTCATCACATGTTTATATCATATGTTCAGCTACAGTTGTCATTATTTTAGGGAATGATTTATGTGCAATTTAATTATTCTTTCAGAACAATAAAATCCGTTTTTTCAAATTAAATATTTTTTTGACCTATCTTCTTTGCAGTATTTCAGATATAAATACAATTTACTTTTTTGACGATAAAGATAAGGGATCTTGCCATTTTCATCCCAACAAGAAAGTATTAAAAGAATCTAGGTTATTTTTATATATTCGGACCACACTCCGTGAAGCCTT